TTCTTTTTCTGCCATATTTTCCAAACAACCCCTTTCAGCACTGTTTCTGCAATGCCTCTCCTCCCCGGTGCTGTCGCTCGGTCCCTCGTGCTGCTCGTGTCCCCGAAGTCCCCGGGAGCTGCAGGAGGAACAGTCCCACCTCCAGCATCTGCACCCAAGGACTAAACATTCCAGGTGGTTTTTTTAAATTCAGACCACGTGTTAGATTTCTTCCCTAACACAACAGAGTGGAAAAGGGAGCAAAAGGACAGTGGGAAGTTACAAAATATATAACGTACCAAAAAATGGGTAAGTTTAGACAAGTCAGTGGTGACTTCTAGAAGAGTAAGAGGGCACCGTACACTAATTTATGCCCCATTAAGACAACAACGCCGTTGCAAAGCCCAAATCCTGACTAAGTGGCCCTTCCCTCGCCCTACACTCTCGAACCCTACAATTTCCAGGCCCAAATGGAATCAACAAGGCAAAAGCCTAAAAATTGTAGGGTTGCGGGCTGTTCCCCACGGCGGGATTTGTTCCTGCTCTGCTGTTTCATGCTACATTTTCCACCAGGGGGTGCACGAACTGGGGGTTGACGTAGGAGAACCCTTCGAAATCCGTTTGGTCTATGTTGGCAATGACCAGCTGATCCGGGGGCGTCAGCACCGGCTGTCCTCGCGTGAAGAACTTATCGAAGTTTTCGGCCCCTTTGCCACACTGCAAGGAAAGAGAAGAACAGGGAAAAAGGCTCAAAAAGACCCCCCAGCAATACATTGGTAGTCCCAGCGTTTTGTCAGGACACGTCAGATATTTCAGCAAAAAAAATCCACACAAACGGAGAAGTTTTAACGGGTGAGTTCTGATGAAAAGCAGCCAAGAAAGGTTTCCAGCCATCAGCATGAGGTGATGAGATAAAGAGGTTTAAATATTCAGACTTACTGGGATACAGAAAGAAAAAGAAAATATTTTTATGGGCAGAAAGGGATACTTTCTCTGTCAAGTCATTTAATTCTTCTTAAGACCTTTATGATACATAATTCTCTGTTTCCTTTACGATCTGCAAAAAGCTTAATGCAATTTATTTATATGCTTTGACTCTTCATTGTACAGCCTATAAACTCTTGTTAATCCATAAAGGACAGCACAGCCTCAGTCCTGGGGATGGTGGGAGGGAGCTGGGCAGGGAGCACATCCTGGGACGGGTCCTCATTACAAAATGTGCTATCACAGGTTTTTTTCCTTTTTTTTTTGTCTTAAGAGACAGTTGTCTCGCAAAGCCCAGCCAAAAAGGGGGGTTATATATAGCTCCAGGCTGAGCACAACTCCTTCAGAACAGAAACCAAAAGAAATTAGGTTTGCAGAGAGGACAGTTTGGAGGAATGCAGAAAACACTCGATAGGCTGGGAAGTATGAGTAGAGGCGTGTTAAAAAGGATGAAGGTGGTACCAGAACAAAATTTAGCTTGTGTGCAAGAAAAAGATGCATCTTTGAGGAAAGTCAGGCATTGAATAATGTGGAGATGTCTGAAGGAAACTGCTAAATCTGCTCCTCTCAAAACTACTGTAACAGATCTTCGAACAAAGTGTGGTTGTACGATGAAGGCACTGAACGTTTCTTCCTGTTGTCACTGACCTTTCCCTCCCTATCCATTCCTACAATATCCCTACAATCATGTGGATTTAGAGGGTAACACTACATTATTATATTCAGACTCAGAGGATAAATTAGAAAGGGCAGAATAGGGCTTGTACAATAGACCAGCATTAAACATTGATTTTTTTTTTTTCTGAATGAATGCAACATTGATTAATCTGTGCATTTAAGGGAGAAGCCAACTGGAAAGAGGCCTGGATTCAGGGGTGAGATGTTTGGCTGTCTTGGAAACTGCCCAGTCACAGTTTCCAACCTTCTTGCAGAGCACCTGGCAGGTGCTGGACCTGGACCTGCCACCTGAGCCGAGCTCAGAACTTCTGCCTGGGGCTCAAGGTGGTTTGTATTTCGGACAACAAACACGTGCCCAGGTCCTGGAAATCAGTGCTCACAGAGGACACTGGCTCAGCCTTGCAAGAACACAAGCACAGGAACACTGCCCCAGGTTCAAGGCTTTTTCCACATGGGGGTGGGTACCCTGGTGCCCACTGAGGCCAGTGCATTTTGGCACAGAATCTCTGGAGAACAAGAATGGAAACAGCTGAACTTTAACAAGGGGAAAACTCTGAATCACTGGCATGAAAGTTGATGTATCCCCAAATTAAGTTAAATTTATTCAGAGGCACAACACTCAGCTCAGAGCAGCCACAAAAGGGCTATTTATACAGGGAAGGCTTTTGCTAAAAAGATGATCTGCAGATAAGCATCATCCTACCACAAAATGATGCTCTTTTTTCTTTTTTTTTTTTAATTTTTTTTTCTCTTCTTTTTTCAGCAAGTTGAAAGTATTCAAACAACTTGCATATTGAAACCAAACTTCCTGACTCCATTAGGCCTCTCACTATTGCTTGTATTAGTAGAGGCTAAGAAATAAATCATGTGAAATATGGGTATATCTGGGGGGCAAATATAGTAATTTATCAATAAATTTGCACCTTCAATTATATTTTTGTCCTCACAGTAAAGAGTAGCATTGCTGTTGTGAACATTAATGCAGCATTAAAGCAGAACTGCAGAAATTCTAAAACTCCTAACCTTAAAAATACAAGTAAAATTGGTCCTTCTTGCCAAATAATCAGCCTGTGCCTACAGCCTGTGAAATGTCAGTCTGGGAGTGAACACATTATTTAAAACCAACCAACTGCTGACCCAAAATCTGCAGCTCCACGTTCAAGTAAGAGCCGTGCCTGGGTGAGGAGGCAGCAGGATTATTCCTGGAAAAGATGCACCTACAAAGGTTTTCTGAAAAAAAACCCACGCCAAACAAAGCCTATAAATACATCCCTATCTTCAAACAGATTAAGGGTTGTGTGTTTTTTGCTTTCTAAAATCAATATCCATTCCTGGAGGCATTGAAATGTGTAGGGACATGGTTTAGTGGTGGGCTTGGCAGTGCCAACTCCAGCAGTGAGAAGTGTTGGATTTGATGATCTTAAAGGTCTTTTCCAACCCAAACGATTCTATAATTCCATGACACTGATACAAATAGAATCAGCAACTGCAATAAATGAGTTTTACATAGGGTATGTAAATACCAGACTTGGATCTTAAATTATTTTTATCTGGGAGAGTAAAGGCTCCATGTGAATCTGCCTTGGTGCATTTTAAAGGCAGCCTGTATGAACAAACCAGGTCAGGATAACCACAGGGATGGAGCACAGCTGCTCCAAAGAGGAGCCAGGATCTGCCACAAAGTGTGCTGTGATGGAACCAGATCATCCTTCAAGCTTTTAGTACCTTCATGCTGGTGATACTTTTAACTTCAAGGAGAGTCTAAGCACTCAGCTCCTGAGCTAATAAAAACTTGGAGCTGTGAAGGTAGATTTGCTTTATGATCAGCTTTAAGTCTGACTTGAGAAGCATGTAATCAAAATCCTCCATAAAATACCTCTAAAGAGCAGCTTCCCTTTGCACAGCCAGCTCTGGGGACCAGCTGGGCAGGACTGGCAGCACCACACATGTTCTTTTGTTCTTTACTTATTTACACCCTTCCCTGCATGCAAAATCCACACCATATAAAAAAGGGTATTTTCCCCAGCACAAAACACCCTTCTCAGCTGCAACTCTCCTCCTGGTGATATGAAAAAGTCATTTGTATGAAGGAAGTGAAGAATAATTCTGCCACTGGGTATTGGCATCCCTCTGTTCATTAATTTGTGGTACCTCACTAGTGTGCCTGTATTAGCAAATAAATCAGTGTACAGACCCTACACCTGAAATGCCAGAGCCAGCCAGGCCTCTCAGCTGAAATAAAAAAGGGATAGAAAAGAAAGATTCAATGTTAGGACATAACATTTTACAGCTGTTCCTTAAAGCTTGTATTCTTGTGTGCTCTTTGCCTGTCAATAAACCAATACATGCTGAAAGAAATTCTGTCTCAACAAGCCCAGCTCTCCCAATTCTATTAAGCAAACAGCTCTGAGGGTAAGGACATCTTTCCACTTGCTTGGATTTCTAAAATATTGCTATGGGTACACGTGTGCAAACCAGTAACAAACATGAAAAGTAAATCAGGGATTAGTTTGCAAACCGAGCGGACGTTGCAGGGTGGGGATACAACCCCCCTGTGCTGTGCAGCCTGTGGAGGAAATTCACCCCTGCAATTCAGATCCCTTGAATCACTGGCTTCAGACGTTGTTCAGAGGAGACAGTCATGAGCCATGTTTATCACCAGCCTCACACATCAGCCACTGATGTGAATATGCCAATTTTCCCCGTTTTCGGCACCTCCTGCAGTGCGTGGCCGTCCAGGCAGGACTCAAACCACTGAGAGACTTTTTTGCAAAGGAACAAATAACGCTGGGTTACACCACAAGGTGCCAAATCACGAGCAGACTTACAGACTGGCCTGCCATAATCAAATTGCCTTATTTGAGCAGTGTCCCAGATCTGCAGCACCAGCCAGGCAGCATTAATGTCACCCCACGGGGAAGCCTCAGTGCAGGCGAGGGAAGGACTTGGCATCTCACTCACCACTTTAGGTTTGAAAGGTGGCTGAATCTCTCTGTTTTCCAATTTTTCCCAGTCAATCCTCCTGAAGAAAGCATGTTCCCTGATGTCTCTTTCACCTTCAAGGCCACAGCCAAGGCGTTTTGCAGGATGTTTTGTCATCAGCTGTCGGGAAGAAAACAGCAAATGATTCAATTTAACGCTGGAATGGAAGTGAGACAGACTTTCCCCTGGTTGTGATGCTCTCGCTCCTCTCTCGAAGATACACATTGCTAATGGAATTGTTTTGAAAAGGTAAAATTCAGTTTTTGAAGATGAATTTTCCTGTTTGTTCCCTGGAGACAGCACATCAGCAACAAAATTAGGGGCTGCGTTGGAGAACTTTTCCCCGCTTGGCACTGGTTGCCACCAGAGGTGCAGGTGATGCCCAGGACATGCTGCCATCCCTGCTCACAACTCCTGAATTTCACCTTTGGTCTTTCAGTCTTATAAATCTCCAGAACAGCCTCTGCCTTATCTCAACAATCAATTAAACATAATAAATTCCAACACACTAAAGCTGTATGAAGTACAACCTCCCCACTCCCATTTCATTTCTCTGGGCTTGTTTAAGACATCTCATTACAGGGCCTCCAATTCCTTGGCACCCAGCTGCCAGTATCAAATATGTGTTTCCTCCCTTGCATTCTTAATGACATCCTGGTCAATACTATACCCACTTGCAGAGATTAAGCAGACTTGGGGAAAAGAAACAACCCAAAACCCACCAGCACGGCGTGCTCAGAAAATGTAATGTGCTCCCTAATTAACAAGCTCCTCAGCATCTCCTCAGTTGGTGTGTACTTTAGGAATTGTGCAATGTAGCCTTCAACTCTCAGTTTCAGTGTTGTGGGGACGTTTTAAAGCTGTGCTACAAATTATATATGATTAATGTGCTGCTGGGAGTGATACCTCCACACATCTTTTTAAAAGCTCAGCTGTACTGCTTTAGTCTCCTTCCAAATGTTGAGTTGATCTGACTCCAATTTTAAACCTAAAATAAAAGTGACTCCAAAGCAGATTTGGGAAGGGGCTGTGCACTGGGCTGGAATTACAGCCTTCTTCAAGCCTAACAGCAACTTTCCCATTTTTGCTACCTTTTCCAAACCCCTTGCTTTAACAGTAAGGGATGAAAGAAAACGTGAATATTGATTCTGGTGGTTTTAATTCTTTCCACAGTTCCTGCATTTACCAAGCCCAACAAGCTCTAAATCAGTGGAATGGATGTCAGGCAGACAAATCAATCCCAAGAGCACAATGGGCATGTTTGTCTTGCCCACTGGTGCCCAGTCCTGGGATTGCTGAGCTCCCACTGACTGCCAGGCTCAGCAGCTTTCTCATATTGACTTAGCTCAGGAATAATGCTCACTGAAACCTGGGATTAATTTGTCAGTTGAATACAGCCAATGAACACATCAGTGTCACAGAGATTTGACCTTAAACCTCGTGGCAACGGGGCAGTTTTAGCTTTCTGCCCTCTCTGGGTGTGAGCACCCAGAACAGCAGCAAGCAGGGGAGCTGAAAATAGGGTCATTACATCAAATTCAGGCTTTGCTGTTTGAAAATCTGATTGTCACGACAAGGCAATAATCTGCATGTACTTCACAAAAATATATGGTGTTTATTTTTTGCTACCCAGCATGTCTACACTGGGATAAGCTCCAAAATTAGCGTGGTCTTTCCTTTTACCTTGTTGCTCTAAACATCTTTCCTTTTCTGTGATGATTTTCCTTAAGGGATTGATATCCAGCTCATGTATAACACCTCCTAAATGGTTGCAAAGGATATACCAATTTAACTGATTAAGTGATACTAAAGGCAGTGGTGTTTTATCAGTGTAAATCAGACCTCAAATAACGATTACAAACAGTGGGTTGGAAAAGCTGCAGACTGATGGTTCTCTGGAGAATCACGTGGAGTCAAAGGAAAGTCAAACAAACTGTTTGTTCCTGAGCTAATCCCCTGAAGCCAAATCTCTTCTTTTCCTCAAAATTTACAATCTAAGGCCAATTTTAGGCCGCACAAGTCACCCCTGGGTCAGGATTTCCCCATGGTTTCCTCCCATTTATGCTAAAGATTTTCACATGAGCTCATCTTTACCTACATTTAAAAATGAGTGTTAGTAACTCTTTTGCTTTGCTCCTGTCATTAGGCATCCTGGGCTGAGGACTCTCTGGAGGATCTGGGATCCAGCCAAGCTGAGAAATCTTCTCACCCTGCAAAATTGGGGCTGTGCTGCTGCGGGTCGAGAGGCAAAGTGGGTGGAGACACTTCACACCATCATCCTGTTAATAAATTCTGCTTTGGGTTTGGCAGCTACTGATTCTGACATTTGTTCTTGCCATAAAACAAGCAGGAACAGCGGGAAGAGCCAAACCCTTATCAGTGACACCAAGTGACAACAGAGCTGAGCACTGCCTGACAGAAGTTGCCCTCAAAAATACTACAGTGCCATGTCAAAGCCAGCCAGATCCAGTTATTCACAAGGATTGCCCAAAAGGAACTCAATGGTAAAGAAGCATTTATCTCACCCCCTTGCAGATGGAGACAGCTTCTTTGGACAGTGATTTGGGATAGGACACGTTATGCTCCATTATGGACTGGAAAAGTTCATCTTCGTCTTCCCCATCAAATGGAGGCTGTTGAAAACAAATCACAGGTGAGTTCCTTACTGGGATTTGCTTTTTTTCTAAAAAAAAATCTCCACTTTTTATGAAATGGTATGACAATACTATGCCCAAAGAGATCAGTACACAGCAGTGGTCCTTGTCCAGGAGCACACACCAAACTCCCAGCCATCTGCACCCTGGGTATCTTCATCAGTCTCAGGTTGAAATCCAGGAAAAACATTCATTTTTGCCCCCACAGGTTAATGAAATGTATGCAGGACTATCTTCATGATCAGCTTTAATCAGTTTTTAAAGCTACTCTGCACCAGGCAGGCAAAATACTTTAAAGGGTGAAGTTTGGAGATTGAACTTTCAATTACCCTGTGCTAAGGTACATCCATTCCTCACCTACTTCCAAACTCAAGTTTGTTTTATGTCATGGCTGTAGACTCTGCTTCTGCTTCTGGGACTATCACAAGAAAGGGCTGCATTATATTTTAAAACAGAGGTGATAAGGAAGTGCCCATGGGTGACTCCCCAGGATATGGGCACCTTGCAAGACCCAAGCAATGGTAAATCTCATTTTCTCCAGAGCATTTAGATGCCCATTATTTGCAGTGCAGCCTGTAAAGTATTAACACCTGCAATTGCCACACATTAAAACTTTAAAAATGTCACTGGAATTTAGTAGAGAAACTATTAAAGGCATTTGTTAAAAATGTCTGTTTTAAGCTCAGGAAATGCCTGCTTTTAGCTTAACACTCACTGAAAGCCAATTGCAGAAATCTTTTCCAACTCAAGACTAATAGAATTCCTCGAAGTTGGTACTTATCTGCCATTTACTGCAGCACAGTGTTGCTTTCCTACCCCAGTGCCTCAGAGAGCAGCCTCTCATTAACTGTGCAGAAGGAGGGCTCTGTAACTGAGCACATTTCCAAGAGGCCAAACCCACACTTACCCCCAGGACATACAACACAAAAACTGTATTCTTGGGATTTAACTGCAATGCAGAGCATATACACACTCTTATTATGCTTCCCCGTGGTTTCAAACTACTAAATGATATTTCTTCCACTTGACATGCGTTTTCCTGCTCAAGTGTCTCCCTTTCAATCCTGAAGATGGCTATTTATAACATTATTGCAGTACAAAGGAGCCGTATTCAAAGGCAGAGCTTGATTATGTGGGCACAATATAAAGAGCTTAAAGCCTAAATACATTCTCAGTTGAGTCAGTCAAGAGTACAAGGAGATAATAGCAGGATGAAAGGCTTCAGTCTTATCCTCTAATGGTCTAACCCTTTAGGGAGCCTTGGAACAGAGCAGCCTTGGAGATGCAGGAGGAGGTCACAGTGAGCACGGGAGGGTAAATCTTACCTGTCCAGCCAACATCTCATAGAGCAGCACACCATAAGCCCACCAATCCACAGACTTCCCATAGGGCTGGTAAGCAATAATCTGTATAATCACAAAAAAAAAACAAACAAAGGAAAAACCCCTGTGTTAACTAACCCCCAGTCCTGTAGCATATTAGATAAATAGTGACATGCAGAGAAGAACATATTTCCTTGAAAAAGGCCAGCAAGCCAATCCTGTAATCCTCACTCCAGCCAATCACTGGTTTCAGTGGGAGTTGGATTGTTTTGCAAATATTAGTCTAAACCCACCCTCACCTTTGATACCCTGATATCTTGGCAAATGTGGCTCTCAGGAGTCCTTGGGATGTGCATTTGAGGGCAAAAGAGGAAGTACAGCAGCACGATGTACTAGACAAGGCAAAAATGTTATCCATCCATGTCTGTCATAGCTTGAAATCATGAGAATCACTTAATTTATGTACTATCAATAATTAAGCCCTTCTTTTCAGTATTTCTATTTTTGTTCTGCTGTAAAAGGAGTCAAAATTTAGGAAAAGAGCAAACCCCTTGCTCAGTGACGTTTTCCCAAGCCTCATGATTGTGATTGTCAGGACGAAGCCAGGTACCAGCTACCCCAAAAAAGAAAAGGGTTCCTGCTGTTCAGACTAATGGAAATGTCAAGTATTGTTCATATTTGACTCATGGAGAAGCACAAACTGAGTTCTGACACAAGGAAAGACTGTGGGTGCCAACAGCACCCAGGGCCCCTCCTGCATCATCATCTTTAATTGAGGCCTCTTCAGATGTCAGCGTTCATTTATTTAAGAGCTGGGTTTGGGAATGGGATAGAGGAGCTGGGTGGGGGGCAGATGTTCTCTCAAATCTCCTTCTGAGTAACTGTGAAGGGATATTGTGAATTGGAAAGGCAAGTAGGATGTCCCAGCCACTGTCCATCCCCACCAGGGAAGGCAGCAGTGGAGCATTCGACCCTCCACCACCAGAATAAGCAGGGAACTGAGGCAGTCACTGCTCCAGAGGGGCCTGCATTTATTTTCCTGTTTGCATGTGTTTTTATTCTTTGTGAGACAAATTGCTAAGCCCAGTACACATCACATATCCTAAATTTTTTATTTGTCTGAAAGAGAAGTTGAACTGGCAAGTTTTGTAGTTTCTCAGGAAAATAGTGAGTCACCAGTGCAATAAAGCAGCACTGCCTGGCTACTAAATAAAATTATAGTCTCTGTGTGAATATATGTTCTTCCCTGAGATACAGCAGCACATGAATTAAAAATTACTGCAATGTTTCTAACCAAAAGGTTTCAAAATCAATCGTACTTTGGAATGTATTAGACAATCACAGATAATAACAAGATTCTCATCTGGAAGGTCCTATATAAAGGCAAATCTATATTACTTGTCTCTTAGTGGTAATATGGACTTAAAAATATATATTTGGGACGTTCATTTCATACTGTATTAGTTGACACACTTGGTTACTCTCCCTTTCATTTCCATCACCAGTAAGTCCCAGAGGCCCACTGGAATCAGTGTTGCCTCTTGAAAGACCAAACACTTTCAAACTTTTATCCAGGAAAAACACTGGCCTTTTACACCCAGCAAATGATACACTATTTCATCTTCAATCCTTTTCTGACAATCTCTCTTTGCCTTATGGCAAAGAGCATTTTATAAAAAAAAAAAAAAGAGGTATTTTTCAGGTCATTAATTCCTAAGGGCAGAACATTTTGTACAACAAGCGTGCTCCATGTAAGTGGTTTTGGGAGGAACAGTTTATTTCAATTAGCAAATGAGAAAAAAAAAATGGATCCACAGCAGTGAGAAAGAAAATGCTGCTACACTGCCAAGATTCTGTACCTGGCAGCCAGGTCTGTCCAGGAGCCCACAGTCTACTTCTCCTCCTATTGTGGAGGAGTTTGATGGGTTTATTGAGGGGAGAAAATGGTTTAAATACAGCAAAGCAATGTCATACAATGAAAGATGAACTGAAGCACTGACTCAGTGACGCTGGTTGTTTGTGCAGCAAGAGGTGAGTCAAGGCTGGGCTCTTCCCTAAATAGAATTTCCAGCAGCAAAGCAACCTGCCCCAATGAGATCTGCCTTTGGGAGAGAAGAGCTGGTAGAATCATCAAGAGAGGCAGAATTAACATGAGAAAAGCTCCTCCATTAAACCTAAGGTAGGGTCAGAATCACTGCAATTTTTGTGCTGTTTGATGCCACTTGTCAACATCTGACAACCAGAGCTGGCAATGCCTCCCTCACCTGGACCAGTGATGGAAGAGGGGCGACTGAGACATAAATACAGACACCAACACTGGAAAGGTGCCACTGCAACTACAACAAGAACACTCCTTTCACTGAACCTACCACCAGGTAAGAAAAGGTGGCCCTGTCAAATCTGCTGCTGGACACTGGAAGATTTTTTTCCTTTAATCCTAATTAAATACACTCAATTTGAATGACCAGCTCAATCCTTGTAAGGCTGTGGCACAAGGGAAGCACAGCAAAGCAATCTGCCACGTTCATTCACCAACCTGTGGTTATCCTCATCCTACTGGGAGTTATTCCCAGCATTAATTGGAAGTGCAAACGAGAGGAAAGAACGCTCACTTCAAGGAAGGAATGACATGTGGGAGGAAGCAGATGAGCTTTCAATGTACAGTCAAACATGCATTGGTACAAAGTCAGCAAGTTCTAAATGTTGTATTTTCAGTAGTTCCCTCCTCCTCATCCAGAATTCATCCTGTATTACCTACCAGCTGCTGCACTCAGAGCCATCCCTGCCTGCCTTGCAGCAGCTGCCAAAATAATTCTATCTGCATGGACAAACTTTGATATCTTGTAGAGCAAATTGGGGTATATTAACATGACCTCCTGTCTCACCACAGTGTGCAGGGCAGACCCACAGAGCAGTGAGGGAGTTCCTGTGCCTAGAAATGAAGAGCTGTCCCTTCCTCCAGCAAGGATCTCTGCTTTTCACTGGCCAGGGAGGAGTGGAAAGCTGGTAGGACCCTTCCCCCCAGCTCCTTCTCCATCATTAATTTAAGTTACTGCCTTTTTCATCTCCTTTTCCATTCCAAATGTCCCATTTTAACTATCTATTGCTGCATTTTAAGAGCTCTGCCTTTCCAGGTTCTGTGGATTTGAGCGCTCAGGAAGAGCTCAGGAATTTCTCTCATCAAGCAAAATTGGCAGAAGAATGTTGCTTTTTTCTTCCTTTTTTTTTTTTTTTTCCCATTTTGCCTCTGAGGAAGGCACAGTTAAGAGCAGGACACAGAGATTAATACCAGCAATTTGTAGGAATGTTTAGATCATTGCAGCTTGCAGCTAGTAGCCAGTTGGGATGAAAAGATTATATCCCAGAGGCAAGAGAAAATCTTTTGTGAACACATCTGATGTCTGCAGGAAAAGCTAAAACTCAGTTATTAAAAGAAATAAATATTACTAGCACGGGAAACAGTCAAACACACGCTTTCCAAACCTCTGTAATACATATTTACCTCCCACAATCCTGGCAAATTCAAGGTTACAGCTGAAGGTTTTGAGGCTGTTGGATGGAGGAGAAGGGAAATGGAGTTTCTAATTTAAATTCTTCTGAAATTCAAAACTCATCACTCTGGCTGCTGCAGGGATGCTGATGGTGGGGTTCTGTGCTGGCAGAATCCCTTCCCACTAATCCTCTTGACATCCATCTCCTCCTGTCTCTCTTGACTGGTCAAGGCAACACAAAGTACTAATTGATTTCACAGCTATTTCCCCACTCTGACCATAAATATTTGAGTTCAGCACATCAAGAAATATTCTGTACAAGATAACCACTTTCTGCCTGACAGAAGCTGTCAGGCCTGGGATCCCACCAGTTTAACCTCTGCACATTCCTTAATGTGCATGGGACAAGAAAATGAATATTAATTCCAGTTGGTTATCCAGCTAAGTAACAACAAATGGTAACTTTCCCAATCATAAAAAAGGGAAACGTTATTTTAGAGTACCCCAAGCTGTGCAAAGTCTCTTTGCTGAACGAAGCACTTTGTTTTCCAGCCAGAGATGGGCTGTGTGACACCAGCTGAGACGTCCCTGTAGGGTCCTTCCAGCTGTGTAATCCCTGAACTGTGTGTGGGTAGCTCATGTAGAGGGAGTGTGGGGCTCCTTCAGACCCCGTTATTGTCACACCATTATTTCCCAAATGCTGAAGGAAAGAGTTAATTCCCTGTGTTTGAGTACAACCCACTCACAGGACTCTCCTCCAGACACCCTCAACAGTTTATTTAGATTTAGCTCATTTATCTGCACCCAGCAGGGAATGGGATCGTGCAAATGCATCTTCATTAAAATCTATTATAAATTGATAAATTTTAGCCCATGGAAACATGCTGAAACACCCCTGCAAGCAGAACATGAACCTGCCTTTGAAGTTTACCACAGACCTAGTTAGCAATCTGCCAGTCACAATAATGTCTTCAGAATCAAAAGAAAATCGGTCAATTCAATAAAATAAAATCAAATCTGTTTGTAAGATGATAGAAAGACTAATTTCCTCCCAATTACTGGATGTTTTGGTGAAAGGTTTATTTCTTTATATAGAATTTCCAAATAAAATAAAGTAATTCACTCCAGCACTGACTCATATTGGGCATTTTGGTGTTGACAAAACGTTCTTTGGTATCAACTGGCACAAGACAGTTGCCACAGAAAGGACACTCTAATTTGGTATATTGGCTTCCTTTTCATTTTGACAGAAGAAAATGAAATATTCTGGTTGTTCTGATATCCTGCTGCAAGCAACAGCAAATGGTGAAAAAACAAGGCTCTATAATACCCAATATTTCACTGTGAAAAGCATGAATTAGCAACTGGGAAAAAAAACAAACTATTTTTCGTTCCAATTTCACAGAGATGACAAAATTCACCTTAGACACTAATTTACTTGTCCATGTATAAATCTGCCCTATTCCAACAAACACAATTACAGCCAGAAATGTTCCAGCCAGAGCTGCCTCTTGCTCAGTACTCACTGAACAACTGAGTATCTTGGATCAGGATCCAGCCTCTTGCATCAAATTTGCTGCCAAACAAATCAAGACTCCTGAAAGCTCAGTATGCACAAATACCAGATTTTAATATTCATATATTTGAATTATATCCAAATCACCACATGTGCTTGTTTTTAATGTTTTATACCTAAAGCACTGAAATACAAATCATATCCAGACTAAAAATCTCAACTCTAAACTCATATTTATCACAGGCTTCAAAGCACAACTGTGCTTCTCAGGATCAAATTTTCATTTTAGACCCACTGCAGTTGGTTCATGCTTGACTGTCGCTTTCAGTGGCTTGAACTGGTATTCCCAAATCATGGAAAACTCAAGGCAAATTATGGATTTATTATGTCAACTCCATTCAAGCCCTGATCTTACAGCTTTGGTCAGGCCTTCAATGACAGGAGTTTTACACAGAGGTCAGTGAGAAGCTTCAAGACCTCAAGAGTCCCTTCCCAAAACTCAATGAGTGGATTGTGATTTCCTGAAAATGCCAAACAGTGCTTCAAATAAATGCATTTTGGCAGCTGTGAGAATTTATGGAGAAATACATTAAAGAAGCAAAATTTGCTCCCAGTGAAGTATTTGCTGACCTCAGCAACAACCTCAGCACCATCCAGGAAGTTTCTATGACTTTACAAATTGCAAAGTTTAGTTTAATAACATTTCCAGCCTACAAATTTAAAATCATAAGGTGCTGAGCCTGTCTTTTTTTAGTATGAACCAAAGCTGAAGCACTGATCTCATCAAAAGTTTTTCAATCAACTAGATTTTTAGAATAGCGAAGTCTTATTGACAATATTGCATCAATTCATAAAGATATTCAATATACCTGCAGAAGGATAATGGTACCATCCACAGAAAATCCAGAGTTCCAGCTATCCAAACCCATGGTAAAATTTGTGTAGGGACAATTTGCATTTGAGAGACTAAAAGGTTCTTGAAATGGTCAATATTTACCTCTGGTGCAATGTAGTCTGGAGTGCCACAGAAGGTCCTGGTTGTTACTCCATCTAACATATGTTCTTTGCACATTCCAAAATCAGCAATTTTAATGTGTCCTTCTGAATCCAACATCACATTATCTAATTTCAGATCTCTATGAAGAATCACAGCAATTTAATGTTAATGCTTAGGATCAACAAGTATCAGAAAGCTCAGGTAAAACCGGGGCTTTGGTTTCCTCCTCACCAGCACCAACACAGCAAAAAGAGCCCCACACTGATGGCTTTTTATACAGTGTTTTAAAAATACACCAAAACTGTAAAGAAACTGATTCATTCAGGTTTTTAAAAATAGTTCAGAATTTCTTATGTCAGATTATACTCACCTATAAATAATCCCTCTGTTGTGGAGAAAGAATAACCCAATGGAGATCTCGGCTGCATAGAACCTGTGTGGAAAAAAAAACACAACAGATTTCTTACTGCCTCGTGATTTCCTTCAGACCAAATCATTTGGATGTGCATCATGGTAAATAATGATAGCATTATAGCATATGAAATATATAATTTATAGTGTGTATATATGTAAGAGTATAAAAATACGTATTATGGGCAAATACTGTAAAAGACATCTCACTTTGACTGGACCTTAACAGACACATTTTGAGTGTTTGATGATAAAATAATGCAGAATTTTAAAAAAATAATATTGAAAATGTCTCCCTAGACAACAAAAAATGGTGTAGCTGGAGCACAGCATTTTTTTTTTGGACCGATCTGATTCTGCTGCAAAGATCCTTATCTCTAATCACATATTGATGAATTCAGGATGCAGCTCAATGTACACTGCAATTCATATGGCATGAAATAATTTGCAGAAATAGTATTCCTTTACACAGGCTGTTAATGGATTAATTACATGAAGCTAATTAAAACGATTACCATATAAAATATAATTGCCGAATGCAGTTAAAAGATATATAATATTGATGGCTGTTTGAAGCTGGTTGCTGTGGAAATTATATGCAAGAGGATTATTTAAAGATGAGATTAATTTTTAGGCTTAGCATAAGGGAGAGGAAGGCTGAGCTCTGCAACACTTGATCAGAGGTGTTGGTGAACACGTGTGCTGAAGATGCTGCACAGGCAGAAGCTGTCAGAAAGCACCACAGATTTTGTTAAGTGTTGGCAAGTTACATTAGCTGGGAGTCAAAGATGATCTGACACCATCTAGTTTTTCTTCAGGGAGTCGTTAAAATATTTTTCTGATTCTGAAATACTTATATTTAGAAGGCCTCTCATTTAAATGAGCCCTGGTTGCTTAAATCGAGATGAGAAGTTATTTTAACTGAATTCTTAAAACAGTTGGTCACCCTTGCTTTTAAAGTTTCATTGGTAAATGATTCAAGGAACACTAATAAGTGATGAGGAGATGTTATAAGCATGACTAACGTGGTACTGCTGGATCTGTTCACACTTGAATGTGCTATAGATCATTATCAGCTGCTCAGTGATGTGCCAGATGTACAGTTACCTAAAAGAGATCATGTACATAAACAACTTCTAATAATTTATTAACTCCTTGCAAATATATCACAGAAATTCTTATAAGCTATACATTGCATTTATCTTGTATAAACTTATTTATATTGCAGTGCTGAGTCTATTTGTGCTGCCTTTCCTTATAACACTAATTCAGACTGAAATGTTCCACTCACCTTTTTATTAATATTTGCTTTTAAAAACAACACCAGAATGCCAAGTAACAGCTTTAATTTCCTGCTGCCTTGGTTAAATTCTTGTCACTTTTCAAGTAGGCACTGTGTGCTTTTGTTTGTGCTCTGTTTTGGAATAAAGGCACAGATACCTTTGGCCTATGTGTGCAAACATTTTTAACATGAACTTCAGCTTTTGGGCCTTAAAAGCACAATCAAAGAAGGCCAGCTTAGACTTCCTACTGAGCCTGGGAAGAGGAAGAAACCAAATCCTCTTAGAGTATAAGATAATGAGAATAACATGATTTAAATATATGAATATGAACACTCACACTGCTTGTGGCTCCTTAAATTTTCCTACTTGCTGGATGTGATACATGAGATCCCCACCATTCACATACTCCATGACAAAATACAGCCGGTCCTGGGACAAAGCAGTAAAGACACAGAGAAATACATTAGAGGAAATATATTAGATATTCATTGATCAGCAGAAAAAAAAAAAGTCACTGGTACGTTATTATAAAGCTTTTAGGATTATTAGGACTGGTTGTACATTCCTGCAAAATCGATAGATCAATAAATGGAAGTGGAAAGTTTTGTAAAATCTGCAGGAGTAAATGACTGAGGAGATCTGACAAGATTTGTCAATTTTAGTGGTGCACTTTTACATATTATTTGTCTACAATGGTCACATGAATTATACAAACATAACTCTGTTTGAAAAATCAGTCTCTAATAAAAAACAAACAAACAAAATCAAAGGTAGTTGAAAATTCCTGCTCTGAGGCCATTTCTAAACCTTCTTAATGAGTTTTCCTTTGGAAGATGGGAGGTATTAAAAAATATAGATTTTTTTATTATTAAAAAGGTGATGGTTTCTTGTGATTATGTCTGCAAATTGGTTGCATTCAGGCCATTTTCTGCTGAGGGATTTGTAGACATTAAGCAGAGTTTGAAAGTGCCTTTAACACCACAGACAATTGTGCTGTGAAAGCTGAGGGGATCTGGCTTTTTTCACAGAATCCCAGAATCATTTAGGTTGGGAAATACCTCAAATCTTTAAAAGTATTTAGGAACCTTTGGGAAGGTGGGCTTAAGGCTCTGACTTAGAATCCACACAGGATGAAATTTAGGAATTATCACCCTGGTCGGCTGGAATGACTCAGAGGAAAAATCTTTAAACCTAGTTTTTATATTTCAAATACAAGGGGTAATTACATGTGGTATTTTTTTGCTGTTTTCTATGCTATGATGTATGGGTTGGATGATAATAAATGTCACTGAAGTGCTAAAATCCATGATCATTTAGTCAGGAAAACACAGGGTGGGAGGAGAGAGCTCACGTACAACTGTCTGGAAACAGGAGTGAAGCTGTGTCAGGAACGGGGGTTTATCCTGCAGTGCCAGGACTCGTTTCTCAACCATTGTACATTCAACATCATCATCCTGGATCACCACATCTTTCTTCAGGATTTTGATTGCATAGAGCTCCTCTGTCCCCTTCCTGTCTGCCAGCATCACCTGCACCGAGAGAAACAACGGGCTCAGAATCGTCCAAGCCAAGCCCCAAGATTTGTAGAGATGGCAATCCAGCTTTTCCTTTAATTGGTATGGACTAATCTGATCGAAACTCCAAAATTATGGTCATTACTCACCTGCTGCAACGAGCTGTACCATCATTTCAGGCACAACCTGTGCCAAAACCCTCTGGGTGATCACAGGCACGTTGCTGAAGGGCTGATAAAATGTTAAGTCCCAGGGGGCTTCTTCAGTAAAGGGCACTTTATCACAGAAGTGATGTTCAAACAGACAGAAAAATAGCAGCCTGTTCCTTCAACTAATGGATTTCAAATATATACCATACACACTATTCCTGGTTTTTCCCCAATGTCCAGCCTTACCAATGTTGGTGACTTCCAGAACTGGCACAGTGACCTGGGTAGTAAAGCCAGAAAAGTAAACTTGATTTCCTTGAACCTGCCAAGAAGTGAGGATCTAAAAGTCAGCAACTGTTTCTCACATCTTGCCCAACAGTCTTTTATAATTTAGTTTTACTTTTTCAAGAAAATTGCCAGTCAGGACTGAAGCCCTCTAGTCCTTAGGGAACCACCATGCTCCCTGTTAAGAGATCCTCCCTCAAAAATGCACAAACTTTTGACTCTGGTTTTTGCTTCTCAGGGAATTATTCATTCATTCCTCCTCGAGGTAAAAAAAAAAAAAAAAAAGGAACGGGAGTGGAATAATTATAAAGAATTCCTACCTTCCCAAAGCTCCCCTTTCCAAGAACCATGAGGAAGTTGAAATCTGTCAGCTTGACCCTGTCCAGATTGTTGGATGGCACACTTGAGCTCTTGTCTTCTGTTGAAGTAATGACTTTGTTACCAGCTGGCCCAAGTTTGGCTTTCTGAAGAACATACACACACATACACACACAGAAACAGGGAAGTAAGAAGGAGAACAGCCCAGTTTTCCTGGCGGGAGGGATCGCTGGGTGCAGGTTACAATCGGACCATGGCTGAGGTGGCATTCCCAGGAGAGAGGCTGCATAACAAAATGTGCACAGACACATCTTCAAAGACCCATCCCAACAACACTTTTGGCACTCTTGAGGGGGTTAAAGTAGGAAACTGTTCATGGATAACTAGATAAAGCAGATGTACTTATCTGGTTAAAAGAGCAAAACCAAAGCAAAGCCCAAAAACAAAGGGAAAAGAGATCACTTATTTTCATGCCAAAAGCAGCTTATCTGGTGCTTTTGTTTTGAAATACAAATAAAATAAAAAAAGAAGCTTTCAAAAAATACCATGCTATAATCTACACAGGGTATTTTAGGACTTAAACAATCTCTTCAATACATTCTCTTTTCAAATGTAATTCTTCAAGTCACTGCATAGCAAGAGTTAGGACAATTTAGACATGCAATAAGAAAAATAACCTACATTAAAAATAACACAATGCATGAGAATTAATGCAGATGAACATGGCCACTGTCAAACCAGCAATACAATCAACTTTGATTTTCAATCAAGGGTTGATCTGGAAAAGGGAGGAAAGGGAATATTACATCCAAGGGCTCTGCCTTGCTCAGACAGTCTGGTTTACAAAAGGTTGAACAGTCTCATTATTTCACATAAGACATCATGTAATTGCTCAAGTTGCATTTCAAATCTCAAAGTTAATAGAAGAGAAAAAAGTAAGACTCACCAAAAGATAATGCAGGCTAAAAGATAATATCTCTTTTTTTTTTTTTCTGGAAATAATCCCATATACCAGCAGAAGCAAAGCCAAGAAGGTTTAATAATGCTTTGGGATATAAGTGCTTTCCCCATCTGTCTGGTTGTTGGTCTGGTTAAGAACCTCTAACAGGGTTAATTTACTCTGTGCCATCGATGTGTGTTTGATATTTCAGGGTAACTACTTTTCTCACTGTGCTGCAAAAGGACAGTATTTGTATATTATCAGTGGTTTACAGATAAAGAAAATTACAGAAATTAAAGTTTATTCAAAACCACACAATATATCACTCTAAAAGCCTGGCCTGGCAAACACCTTTGGCAGCCTCACTGAAAAGTGGAAGTTACAAACTTTGCCCTCCCCAGACAAGTTTAAAACCATAAGATTGAAAGGGATGACTCAATTCATGGACTGCAGCTCTCTACTCCTGCAGGCAGTAATGTCAAATGATCATCTGACAAAAAACCCACATGTCACTGGAAAACCATATTCAGCTTGGATGACACTTCCTGCAACTTTATGAGCACAAAAAATCTTATACCCTGCTACAGGAATAGGAACTTTGGAAGTTCAGATATCTTTATTAAAAAAATTGTATTACAGGTTAGAATTAGAATTAGAATGTGGATTTTTTTCCCCACCAATGTTATTATTTGTTTGCATGAAAGCAGCACTTGGAGATGCTGATGAGCATCATGTGCTGTGCAAATGTTCAGGAAGAGCCAGTTCTGGGTGTCAGCCTAAATCCCTGAGTCTGCAAGGGATGATCCCACGGCAGATCCAGCTGCTGGGACAAATCCAGGGCCTGTGATGGAGCACTTTGGCAGGACAGAGGCCACAATACAAGATTGAGCCATAAGCAAACAAGTTTAAAAAAAAAGAAAAATCCCAATATCCTTTCTTTGTACAAGATGAAGACGTGGTTCAAAGCAGCAGCTTTGCTGGCCATGTCTTTGTGATGCTCTGGCACGTGGGATCTCAGATAAAGATCTTACTTTTTGATACAAAAAGCAATTTCAATATCCACCTTTTCACCGGGTACTGGAGATCCAAATCAGGCCTTGAATGGATAACAACCAGCTTTATGTCTTGTACTTTAAACCCACTGGGCAGGTCACTGGCAGCTTGTTCAAAAAATACAGAATTTGAAGCAACAAATCACATTTTGTTCCAAGGCCATTTGTTTTCTGGGGTACAAACCTGCCGTGCAGGCAGGGAGTGCTCTCGGCAGCGCTGCAATCCCGGGCACCACGTGTTTCCAGCACATTTCCCAAAGGAAAGCATGGCAGGTTCACCAGCAGGCTCCTGTGCCTGCTGCTGGCCTCAGAGCTGAAGGCACTGAACTCACTTTTTTGGGATGGAGTTGTCAGGATCTGAAGGCAGGATCTTAAAATAATATTCAAGAACCCAGCCAAGGCCTCTCTGTATCTTTGCAAGGCAACACTTAAGATTCAACGAGCAACAGAGACACGCTCCTCTCACTTCTTTTAATCCTTTTTTTAAATTAGATGTCACCCTCAATTTGACAATTTCTTTTCCCATATGGTGGATTTTTAAGGAGAACTCGGGATTCCTGCTGTTTGGTCAGGGGGGCTCTGTGCTGCCTGGTCCAGGCAGAAGGTCAGCACAGGCAGGAGCTGCTGGACTGTGCTGAGCTGTGAGTAACCTGTGGCAAGGGAAGGAGATGATCCTGTTTATCCCACTGCACAAGCACTGGTGGGTGTAAAGAGAGAATCCTGCTGCAAACCTTGTGTAAGGAAGCCTGGGAACATGGAATGCCATGAAATGCTGGAGAACAACCAGGTTGACTCAACGAAAACACACGCCCCAGAGTGGGACTGCCTAATTAACTGACCTTGTTAAATGGTCACATCCTTATCAAAGGTCCTTATTCCCCTTCAGCCCAGCCACAGACCAGTTGTTTATGAGCATGCAAAATAGTTTTTCACATTTAGAATATGAATTCCTTTTACTGCTTTTTGGCCTAAGGTCCTAGTGAAAACACAGTGGGAATTTCCACACATTTCACTGAGCTCCACAATGAGCTTTGTATCTGAAACATCTTGACTATTGCAGAGGGAAAATGCCATGCAGCCAACACACTCTTCCAGATTGCCAGAGCAAAACCAGTTTTGCAGCTACAGAAGGGACATAAACTCAAATGATTCATAAAAGCTTATTGGAAAAGAGCAATGATATTTTGCCTTTCCTATCATGACTAAAATTGAAAATCGCAGAATCCTGCTTGAATCCCCCCCCTTATTTTTTATGGATATTAAAACTTGCTGAAGTTGAAGATGGCATCTCAGGCCCTGGATTAATTTTCAAGTTACATTCCAACTGCTTGGCTTATTATTATCTTGGACAAAACCACAATATTGTTACAATGAAGCCAGCTTGCAGCAAACCAACCAGGAAAACAGAATGTTAAAGAGAAATTAGTCTGCACTGGGAGCAGAAAAGTTAATCTAAAAAGAAAACAAGACATGCACATCATCTTACTTCCTCTGGTTTGGACGCACCTTATCTCGGCCAGTTCTTTTACCCTGAAACCACAGGTGAGAAATAACTTATATATTCAGCCCAAATTCACTTCTCCACGGAGTGTTACAGATATTACAGTGTGTTACATTGGAGTCTCTTGGAATTTGGCATGTGCTTTTTGGAAAAGATATCTCAGGTTTTGCAGTAAAAATGCTTTCAATTTATATTTAATCTAAGAGTAACAATTATACACTTAATTAAATATGAAAAAAAATCTTTCCAAAACTTAATGAGAAGTGTGATGCAAAGAAGAAACAGAAGTGATTTAGGGAATAGGAATTCATCATTGCAGTGAATTTTTAATCACAATATATATTCTCATTGACTCTTTCCATAACTTTCTTTCTGATTTCTCACTGTGAAGGAACTCTAATAGGACAAAACAATAAATCTGAACATTGGCTCTTCTGCCCTCCAGTTACATCTATATTAGAGAATCTTACGAATTACAAGCAAAAAGAGACCGAATTGTTAATTTTCCACATTAGCCAACAAACAATAAAACTTGTGAAGAATTTAAAAGAACACACACAATTCACTTTCCTACCCTGGGTCTCTGTGGTGTAATGAGCTTCCTGACATGATGTTACTGCTTTAACACCTTGTATCACCCACCTCCACCACTTCTCCCCTGCTGCTGTTTGCAACACTCAGCTCGGTGAGATTGGCTTTGTTCCCACATGGAAAACGAACACCAGGAGCCAAACCTGCCCAAACTTGCAGCCACCCCCTGCCATCCCCCAAGCACAGCTCCAGGAGGGAGAAACCCATATCATCTCCCAGGAAGAGATAATCAAGCCAAGAGCAAGCTCTGTGTGCCGCTCACTAGGGGAGGTGTTTCTCGGTTGTCAGGGCAACTCACTCGCAGTGAGTTCCCAGATGCCGACAGGATCATCCCTGGGACCAAATTTCCGAGAGAAGAAAGCGATAAATGAAAAGATATTTAACAGCAGTGCTGAATTCTCATCACGTGTGCAGAGGTGCAGCCACACCCAGCCCGTCCCTCTGGGATTTGCTCCACTGACACCTGCCCAGGAGGGAAATCCAGAGCTTTGCTCCCCCAGCAGCAGAGTCGTCTGGAGACTCCCAGCTGTCCTCCACATGGAGCAGCATCCCCTCCCCATCTTCAGAGCAGGTTCCACCCACCAGCCACTGCTCTGCCCCTGCAGTTGCATTCAGCTGGGAATAGTGAATGAATGATGGAGCAACAGAGCACAGAACTGCTCACTCTCTGTTCCAAAACTCCCTGCTCGAGGGCCAGCATTCCAAGGACTGACTGCACAGGCTTTATCTTAGATGATTTGGGTTGGAAGGGACTTTAAAGTTCATCTCATTCCACCCCCTGCCATGGGCAGGGACACCTTCCACTAGCCCAGGTTGCTCCAAGCCCCATCCAACCTGGCCTTGGACACTTCCAGGGATGGGGCAGCCACAGCTTCTCTGGGCAACCTGTGTTACGTCCCAAGAACTGAGATCTATGGAGCAGCCACGTCCCCCTGCTGTGATTTAATCCCTCTGCAAAATTTGAACAAAACCCCTGCTCCTCACACTGCAACAAGTTCTCATCAGTTCTTTGCTAGACCCCAACATGCTCTTCTAATGTCACTGGGTGATGGAAGCAGCCAT